TTGATTGGATACAATTTCTCTAACACTTTAGATTAGGGAACGCATATCAACATTAACTGAGAGTTTTCCCCAAATAAACTCCTAATAATTACTACTTATTGATAGTAAGTAAGGTAGTTGTTGTAGTTGTTATCTTTAGGTATGGGGTGGGGGGTAAAGATATCCCTTTACCCCCCACCCCATACCTAAAGATAACAACTACAACAACCACCTTACTTACTATCAATAAGTAGTAATTATTACTCATGCAGAATAAGGTATTGAAATGTGCTTTATAATGTGCTATATATAATAAAGCTAGTAATAAACTAATAAACAGCCTGCTAGTAATATGCATGCTAATAAGCAACTAGTTAATAGTGAATAGTGTTTTCTGTTGGGTAGGCTATATGTATATAAATACCCAAAAGAAAACTGGAAGTTTTTGCATGAATTTTTTATTAATTTGAACGTAATAACTATGAGGAGAGGGAAGCTCCTCAGCTCCAGCATAACAGACAATCTCATATTTGTTTTAATATTTGCAACCTGTTGCAGTTCATTATTTAATTTGGGGCCCAAAATGCATCTGATAAATGTGGAATAAAAAGCCCAAAGCGCCAGCACTCTATTAAATTTGTTTCATAAACCATGCTGCATTCCCACTCTTCATATGGAAACAGACAAACACCAAGAGAAGAGAGGAAAAAAGAGAGACATTAAGGGTGGAGTCAGCTACAGATAGAGATTAATGATAATTTATGTGCCGAACATCCTGTGATGACCTCAGCGCTCTTCCTTTCATTCATCCATCCCCCAACTCCAATTCCAAATCTCATTCCCATTTTCCAATGGACTGACAGCCTATCAAACCTAATCATCTCAACTTTTTTCAACATGGCTGCCAAGAGACGAAAACAAATAAATAAATAAATCAGGACGAAGTGGAAAGTGACCAACCCTTTTGTTCTTCACGTCGAATGCCCTCCAAACAAAAAGATGAAATGGCTGAAAACGAGAGCACAAAGTGTGATGAATGACTTTCACAGCCACATCTGGCCTGGGCTGTGCACGGCATGTGAGCTGTGGGAAAGACCGTTCCAGCTAATCCATGCTAAGTCACGGTGGGAGTCTGGTATAGAGGCCACAACTGCAGACACAGCTGCCTTAGTCAACAACTGGTTTCCTGGTTTTTCCTGAACCACACCTGACTCCATGCTAAGACTGGTGAAGGACCCATGAAGACTGGCATAAAGATCTCTTCTAACTTCAGTTAACTGTTGTCTGTGCTGTATGAGTGGGGGGCAGAAATAAAATACTGAAAGAATACTGAAAGAGTACTGAGAATTAAATATTCAGTGCCAGATGTGCCTAAAATGCATTCAAGGGCAAGAGTAAGACAGCCTCTAGTCTTAACCTTGCTAGAAATAGATATCATTGGGTAACATCTCTAGGGACGGTCTCTACAATTTTCAAAAAATTGAAAACAAATTACATTATGAGATTCCTGACAAAAGTTGCCAGAGATTTGTTTTTGGGAAACAAGATCAGACCAGAGATTCGCAAGAGACAAGGCCTACCTGTCTAGGTTGTCTACAAACAATACCAAACTGACCTTTGCACAGTTCTGACCCAAGTCAGAAGATGGCCTGGAAACAAAAGGCCAATTACTAGACAATTTAGGGGAAGAGTGCCATCTAGGCACAACATTACACACTACAGCATGAACCAGTCTAAACATTGCCTTCAACATTTTTGCACTTAGGCTATTTAATCTTTTGTTTTAGTAACAATTTGGAGCATATCAACTAGTTATATGCTATCATAGTCAAAACATTACAGGTAAACCATGAAGCTTTATATCACCATTGGTCTCCTCACATTCCTTTGTTTGTAGGCTTTAGCAGAATTAGTTGTTTCTTTATATTGCATATTTCTTTGTATTTCTTTGCATTGAGGGTGAACTTTATGGGCTGCTGGCTTTAGTGCTTTAACACTCAGAATGCTTAGACTGTGGAAAACACTAAACTGAATGATATAAGTTCTGCATTCAGTTTTGCTTGGTATGCTTAGCCTACAGGGTTACTATCATTAACTAAAACTATTAAAAACATTTTTGTTAATTGAAAGCTGAAATAAAACTAAACTAAACTGAACTAAGAAATGCAGTATAATAATTAATCAAATAAGTTTAAGTTAAAGTACTAAAATTACTAACTGTAAATAAAAACTAAAACTGAACTAAAATTAAAACTGAAAAAAGTTAACCCTAAATATTAATATTATTAAAAATAACAAAAGTTAATAAAAAATGACAAAACACATCAGCAAAATTATGAAAAAAAATGAAACTGAAATTAAATAAAAACTAATTCAAAATATTAATAAAAACAATATATAAGTAATAGTAAAATAACACTGACATACTATATATTAGCACTTAAAGGGATGGTAAAAATAACAATTATGTCATCAATAGTCAACCTCATGTCAAAATCAAAATTCACTGACTTTCATTGTATGGACAAAAACAGTTTTCTTCAAAATATCGTCCACAGAAGATAGAAAGTCAAATACAAATTTGGAACAACATGAGGGTGAGTAAATGACAACAGAATCCTTTAATCATCTAAAACGTTTATAATATAGCATTCTAGTCTACCTATGAATATGACTCATTGTGGCAAGCAATATCCCTATGAATGTCCGCACAACAGTCTTAAAATGTATTATTTAGTTGCAAACGCTCTGTAACCTGCACTGTACTAACTAGGCCAAGCTTGTGGGCCTACATAATTGGCACGTCTCTCTTGTGCGCAGATGCAGAGAGAGAGAGAGAGGAGATGGAATCAATAACAGGATACATTTCCAGATGCTAGGGGATTCAAGGGGCACACCACACCAGACACTGTGTGCCTCAAACAAGAGAAACATCTCTTCCCTCATGTTTCTCCCTTTGTGGAGGAGCATCGTCAACAGATCAGCACTACAACACTGACTATGTCTTTTCAGCATGACAGCGTTTAAAGCAATCGGCATCATCCAGTCCAGTCTCTACTTGGTTTATGCATTGTAGAATATAACAGGAGCTTAAGACTTCATTTGTTTTTTAAGGAAGAGGGAGGCCCTGGTGTAAATCTGCTCAGCTGCCCATTTATGAAAAGTGAACATGAGCAGCCTTAATCCCAAAAAAGCGTCCCACACACGACACGTCCAGTGCCAAAAACAGCGTGCTTAATTAGTGGGCAGGTTCCGCTCTGACGGGCAGGGCCGTGACCTTCCTTGGGGAATAATGAGCCAGGCAATGCTTGGGGCCTCGAGCTGTGGTATCCACATGGAAGCGAGGTGCTGATTCCTGCTTTAGACGTGCTAAACTGACAGATTCATGTGACCGGACAGTGAACCGTACACTTGGCACCAGGAAGCTGAAATACTTGCTGTCGTGTTGGGGTTGGTCCAATCTCTTGTTTTGTGTCTGTTTCTTTCCGCTTTGTGAAGCTAGATGAGATTGGTCAGCTTTCTCTTTGTTCTCCAGCAAGAGGGGAGCAGTGGCCATACTATCCTAGATGTTTTATCAGCATGGGCTAAGAGAAGCTATCAGAATCAGAATCAGAAAGAGCTTTATTGCCAGCTATGTTTACACATATGAGGAATTTGTTTTGGTGACAGAACTTTCCACAGCACAGTGGCACGTGACAGTGACAAGACACCGATAACAAAAAGAAAATTAAAAAAAGAACAATATGTATGAATTATGGTGTATTAGAGGGAAATTATTGTCTTAACTATGTGGAATATTTGTATTTGGTGTAAAATTATGAGTTGTGGACGAAAAAGGGACTGAACAGAGATGGAGAGACATTTAATACACCATTTACAGACAACTAGACTACATTATTTAATTAAAACTGATTAATTATTTGAAACATTTTTTTTTACACAAGAAAAAACTACAAAAAGAAAATTCTTAAAATCTTAAATTCCATGCTACATCATACACAATAAGAGGGAATGGGGTGGGATTGTACATTAAAAATAAAAACATTTTGGGTTTTCTCTTCCTTCTTCATCTGCCATGTGCATTCCCACCTTCTCTGTATGAACTTCTCTCATTCAAACCTTCAAACCTAAAAACGGATTTAAACAGCATAACCTCAGCCAAGACATTTTTTAAACAAAACTCAATATGACAAAAAAAAAAAAAAAAAGCTATTGTGTTAGTTCTAAGCTGCAGTACAATTAATACAAATGTATGGAGGATGGGCAGTTACATGATATTAGATTTGGAGTGTTGATATGTGGCAGAAGTGCCATCTGCTGGTAGTTACGTTTAATTGCACGCTTTTGGGGCTGTAGTTGAAATGTGCACTGATCCTTGTCAGCTCAAAGTCTCGCTAAATATATGACCAGTTAAAACTAAAATTGGGCCCAGTCCCAGACTATATAATTAGGACATGGATGTATAAATAGAAATATTTGGAGAATGCGGGCATCGATTGCGCAGCGAGCGCTCCATTTGAGCTAATTCCCCATGTGGGGAAAAGAGGTCCATCATTTTGGGTAGCACATTCAAAGTCATTAAGAGAAGCGATCAAAAACAAAACTGAAAAGTGCTTTCGATAGAACATCCAACATAACGATACATGTTTCAAGAAATTAAACATCTTTGATCTTTGTGTCTGTATATTAATATAAATATGTCTATACCATTTGTATTTTATTTTATGAGTTGAGCTGAGGGTGGCAAAATGTCAATAATAAGAAGTTAATTATGGACCAAGAAATCTTAACTGATTTCATTTTGGACTTCAGTGAATAAGCAAATGTTATAAAACAGCAGAAAGTATTCCCTTTAAATTAGTTGCATCCTTCATTGTACATTCAAGTAAGGTTGTTGCTTATTTCTAAATAGATTTTGACACAATGGGAAACAAACGAAAAGACAAGTAAACTACATGTACAAATTTCACAAAAACATGTCATAAATAAATAAATGTAAAAAATAAGTTCATCATGTGGTTTTCACTGGATTTTGCTTTAAACTGAAAATGTGCTGATATTTTACTCACAATGATCAGAAACCATAATAATGACAATTTTTTTTGCGACAGGTGGGTGGCCTATTTTCTGAGAAGCCTATTTCTTGAGACGTATGCATTATCAACATATGGACAAACTACAACATAAACCTTGCTGGTGCTATTAGTATACAAACTATTCATTTTGTTTAAAAGTCACATGATTGTACAAATAAGTTATGGTATGGCCAGATCAGTATTTAGCAGACTTGGGGTTTTGTTTGGGCTCATCCTGTACCTACTTACAACTATCCTGACCACACAAAGTAAGCAACTTCATCCAAGTCCACTGGATAATCAGTAAGGTATATGGGTCCTTTGTCTCCCTTGTAATACTCTCCCTTGTAACTTCTCCACCTGCCCGCAGGAAGGTATATATCTCTTTCTTGCTTGCCTGGTTCAAGTACAGGTGCCACCAGAAGGTCATCTCCTATCAGGAACTGAGAGTCAATTTTGTAAGCTGCCTCATCATCTGTTGCAATCCACCAAAGAGGGCGAATGATGGGATCCCCAGTGTACAGCACTTCCCCAGCAAGCTCCAGAACCCGAGGGGCTACAAGCGACTCATGGAGAGCAGTGAACTTCTTGGCGATATTCACTACCTCATCATCATAGTGCCATGGTGGAAGTGAGAACTGCATGGCTGGCATGAAAGCTGAGAGCTCTAGCCAACGGATGTACAGCTCACGATCTGGAAGGCCAGTGAGGTTAGAGGTTGTACTTCCGCCTATTATGTCTGGCAGAATAAACTGGTAGCCAAGAATACTTATAGTAAGTACAGTTGGAATTATAGATTTGAGGCCTAGGGTGTATCCCCATAGTGAGTCACGGTCTATAATTCTGAAGAAGCAGGAGATGTTTTGAGACTGATAGCCGGACCGCAGCTCTGCACGGTCATTGAACGGTAGTGCCATCTCAGTGTAGCGGCGAGTAAAAGTACTGGGATCCTGCAGAGGAACAAAGGTACTGAACTGCTGGGGTAAGTAGCTTGTTTCTCCTGCATCAAACTTAAAAGATACCACTCCATACTTGTTCTTGAGGGTGCAGAGATTCAAGGCATACCAGTCCCGAGCTTCTGGATTTGTGAAATCCAAAATGCCAGCGATACCATTCCACCAACGCACCAATGCAGGAAGCTGGCTACCGGGCACTCGTACAAACAGTCCTTGTTCTACTCCAACACCAAAATTGACAGAATTATAGTTGACAAATGGATGAGTCCACAAGGTTACCTGGAATCCATCATCCCTAAGTTTTTGAAACATGGCTGAGGCGTTGGGAAACTTGATGGGATCTAACTCAAACTCCCCATAGCCACTAGTATATCTGTCGTACAGCTCCAGGTGACTGCAGTTGAAGCCATTTTTTTGAATATCAGATGCATATTTCAAAATTCTTTCTTCGTTGACTTCTTCTAGAGCTTTTGTAGACCACATTGGTTGTCTGAAAACAGCTTCTGAGGGAACCTTATTGGGCTTGTTGAAATATCGACGTACCATGTACTTGTGTATAGAGGTGATGTCATGCCCGACACATACACGATAGCTAAGTGTCACATGATGGGGATTACCGGGGTCTGGCCTATAAGGGCTGTCATCGTATCGAGCTTGGAACCACAGAGTTCTGTTCGTTTCATCCCAGCCAAGGTGAAAAGGAACAGAATCATTAATTTTTATGGCCGTAGCATTGGAAGAAAGCCAGTAGCGCTCTAAGATGCCACCAAATGCCTGATAATTCGAATGGATATCGCCTGTAATGAAAGGTTTGGGTTCTTGCTGTCCTTTTAATACTATTGGCCAATGCTGCAACCAAGTCTCCGCACCACCGTACCAGTGTGATCCACTGCAGGACATGACATGCTCCACCAACCGATGTTCCTCCAGCTCATCCCAGCGCACACGATAGCACTCAACTGTGTCTTTAGGCTTTACCGTTTCTATGAAGAAATGTATATTTCCAGCTATGGATTTGTCACATCTGAGAATCTGTCCCTCTTTTGAACATGAGTCCAGATCAAGGGTTCCAGACCTAAAATGCACAATTAAAAACAATGTGACTTCTAATCATAATTATGTAATTACAAGTGTAAATAGGATATTTAAACAAAATACCTGAATGCCATTTTGAAAATGACAACCCCAGCTTGGTTTCGGATGAAAAAACCATCTTTGTTAAGATCCAGTCGTTCAGTTGTCAGAAGGTTGGCCTTGTGGAGAGAAGCGGAGTAGTAGCACCATGCTACAATCGCAGCAAGAACCAGTATGACTCCAAGCACACTCGCTTTTATCACTGGGCGCCTTGGTCTACCAACTCTCTTCTGCTTAGGTGGTGAGTAATGGCTCATGGCACCAATGCCAAAATCTCCAACAGTTGATGATACGATCTGGTACATCTTCACAACACTCTTATGCACACAGCCTTCTGTAAAATCTTTCTAACTCATGAGCAGAAAGTAGACTGTTTTAGGTGTACTGCACATGGGCTGCACATGGTTGAAGTAGCAGCTGGCCATGATGACTTCTGCCATGCCTAGACATATTGAGACAATTTAAAAGGAATAATATGTAAAAATAAGCAAAAAAAAATGCAATGTTTGAAAGTGATATAATATGACTCCCGAGATAAAACATTTTTATCCATTTTTAAATGGATAGTTAACCTAAAAATGAAGATTCTATCATCATTTACTACTTAAGTCATTCCAAACCTGTATATAGGTTGGAAGTGTGTGAGGGTGAGTAAATGAGAATTTTCTCACAAAAACTAAAATTCTTCATATCTGTGAGACACAAAAGCGGATTCAAGCTATTGCTGTTACACTACAGCAGCTGAACAGTCGTCTAGGCATGTATTGAACACAGAATTTCCAATACAGTGTTGTGATGTCCTGTAACAGGCACACTATTGATTAGATGGACATTTACAACAGAATAAACGCAACTGCTATAATTTAGACACATGTGATTACAATTTTAGGGTTGTGTGATTGTGGAAAATATTAGTTTTAGCAATTTAGCAGATTCATCCTAATCCCCCTTAGCACAGAAAAGGAATATCACTTAGCAAGTGCTTTCTGACACATCGCCTGACACAACACTGCTGCTTGATAACTAGCGATTAAGTCACGCAGATGATAACACATCAAGTTCATTCCAGTTTTTAAGGTGTTCACTTGAGGAAGCACAAAGACGATTAAGTTCTGTTTTATGGTATGACCCCTCACATATCTATGCAATAAGTAATACATTTTCACCAGTTACTTCCATTTTGTGTCTAGTTGAGTTCATTCAGAAGGAAACACTACAATACAAATCTATGTGAATATTTTCCTTTCACTCAATTCCTATTTGTGTACAGCTCGCCAGCTAAACTTTTCAATAAATAATAAATAAACTTACTCTGAAATCGACATTACGACTGCACATCGGTCAAAACTCTGTTGCTCGGAACGTTCATGAACACATCAGAAGCAAGTTCGACCGGTTTGTGTGCATCATGGGTAATGTAGTATTGTAAGAGGTGGTGTAAATCTTTTATTTGATGAGAACATCAAAATGTAAGGAAAGCAAACAGGGTGGGGAGGGGGGTCTGTATGTAGGTCAGGAAAATAAAGAATATTTAGTTGTATTAGTTAGCGTGTAGAATGGTATTTTACCATAATTTCGAAAAACGTTTCAACCAGGTGTTGTATGTTCCATAACACAAGTATTCCACTAGATGGGAGTAAATTATAAGAAAAAAAAACTTTCATTTTATATTGATTTCTCATTGTAAAACAGCATCAACAGCTTCACTTGTATTTCCAGAAGCTTTTATGAGAGATTGCAAGAAATTAATATTTAAGTGTAAGTTTACAGTATTGTGATTCTAATGGGAATCTACAAGAACTGACAAAGACGTTTTCCTTTTAAAAAGTTGTTTAATAAATGAAACACTGTGAGTGAGCATGTATACAACCCATGACCTGAACTCTGGCATTAGTCCAAACCTTTTTTTACCCTGGACAATTTTTTAAAAATTGTTGCTACCTAGCAGCTTGCTGCTGAGCAATGTCAACACATTACAAAAATGTAAAGTATTTTCTGATAATCTCTAAACAAAATACACAAAAATAAGACAGTCACTGTCCCAATGATCCAAAAATATCAGGCTATATCGAGATCTAGACACAGCATACCACCTTATAAGAAAGAACAACGAAGCGTGTGCCTTTCTATGTAGTCATGCATGACCAGAATCTGCAGAACACTGTTGAGTCTAGGTATCAAATGTTCTTTTCTTTCTCCCAGTCTCCCCTTCCCCAGTGACACACAAATAAAAACAAACACATATCAGCATTCCTGGGCCTCACTCAGTACTCAATTTCATTAACATTTTCAGAAAATCCTGAGTATGGGATGCTGTCTCCAGGATCTAGAGAAAGAGAGAAATAAATAGAGAGAGATTTATATGTATTATAAACATAATATGTACAAATACATTCTCTGTCTTACAGGCTGCCATATTACTGCTGCTGTTAACAGATTCAGATAGCTGCAGTAACAGTAGGCCTATGTGATCCCTTCATAGACAAACCCCAATGAGACCTGCAGTAAAGAAAGCACATGCTCCCCCCACCTGCTGTTACTGCAGTGCAGTCACCTGATCTCACCTCTCACAACCTACTGCAATACATCAAATAAAAGAAGATGAGGTGTGTCCACAAGGCTGGCGGTTGCCACCCTAAAAATGAGCTTTGCCATCCCAAAGCAGAGTATGTGAGTGGAGCAGAGCAGCGTGATTTTGACTGAACAAGAATTTTTTGGAAAGTCTGAGTTTCAGGTTTTCGCTCGCTCAGATAGCGCTCCACTGCCACTCCACCACGAGCACAGTTAATGCCAGCAGCCCATTATACAACTGCTTTTTAGCAAGAATTCACACGATAAAATAAGCATTAGCTAGCTTGACACTAATGGATAACTCAAATCAGAAAGAAGGTGAAAGTTATGAAGACGTCGATGGACAAGTGTGGGAAGTTCTGCATAGTTCTTAAGGAATATTGATTAGGTGATTGCACATTTTATTGTACAGCAAAGACAACAGGCTTTTCTAATAGCCGTTCTAAACTGGTGCTGCCTGATTGCAGCACACGCGCACACACACACACACACACACGTATACAGACAGTAGCTTGCATATCCAGGATCACGCGCACACAGAAACAAAACTTATTGTCAACGCTGTCCAGTGATCAATAAAACAGCTTAGAAACTGAAACGTTATAGCATATATTTCTTTGTTTTTGAAGTAATTTAAACCCACAGCTTCATTATTAGTAGAGAGACATTGCACAGACTTAATTGACAACTATACTTTATTTAAGGCTATTCTGTTTGTTAGGACATTATTATAGGAACTATTGTTGTCAAGTTTCATTGTTTTCCCCTTTAGATTGGTATAAAATTTTATACCAATCGTTCCTCGTAACAGCTATAACTGGTGTTACTTGGCAAGCCTAGTTGCCACCCCTCTTTCTGCTCTTGCCCCCCTTTGCCACCCCGAGTATAAAATCCTGGACATGCCCCTGTCGACGCATGAACAACTGACACTTACTGTTCAACTTTCAGGTTATGCGTTTGACTTCACATACTACAGCACACAAGAAGACATTTGTGTAACCATTCATATTAATTGAAATTAATTTTTAATTGTATAAGTTTTAGAGCATGACATCTATTATTTTATTCAAAAGTATAAAATGCTTAATAGAAAGAAATTGACAAAATATAAATATAAAAAAGTTAACTTAAAATGCAGTTCACATATGCAATGACTTAAACAGACCTCTTTTATGATGAGTATGTCTCTTTTTTGTATATTTTTTGCATATTTTTAAGAAATTCTTATAATTTATTTATAAGTTTGGCATAATCATAATCTTATCTTATTATTAAAAGTATGATTATTACTAAATGTTCATTAATAATTAATTACTAAATATGACTAAATAATTAGTCATGTACATTTTATAAACGTATAATATATTATACATTATAACTTAAAACAATACGGTAGTAAAAAGTACTACTATGTGTGTGTGTGTGTGTGTGTGTGTGTGTGTAGTAGTAGTAGTTTTATTACAAATTTGGTCATGCGGTCCAACCAACATGGAAGGAGGATCCCTGCAGACCCTCATGAATGTCAAAGTCAATGAGTCTCTTCAAAGATCAGATATTTTGACTTTTTTATGCCACTGCAGTCATTAAAAACTTTTATTTAGAAAAATATATTTTAAAAATGCTGCATTGTCATTTTGGTACTAAACTGTTTACTCACCTTTGCACGGTCCCTTTTTAAACACAACATCATCAATTGCAATGTCACTCCTTATTGAGGATCCTCTGACAGCTTCAAATATAATCTGCAAACAATTAGGGAGACATTAAACCTTTCAGTGAATTTTTACATGCAAAAAAAAGCAACACAGTAATGTTCAAAGTGACACTCCATCAGTTTCTTGGCACCTCAAGTACCATTACCTGAGCGATCAAATGGTTACTTTGATATTGACATTATAAAAGATGTTTTTCAAAGACATCTTTCAACAACAAAGAGAGTAAGAGTGTGTCTCTAACCCAGTGCCTTGTGTAACACTCATAATCCACCGTGGCCTTCATCCAGGACACACTTTGTTCTCCTTGTCTTGTCCAAAGCAATCTCTCCCTGTCCCCCTTATGCAGCAGGACGTTCAGAGTTCCTGTGCCTGAGCCATACATGTGGTAGAAGAAGATCAGACAATGAGGTCCGGTTGAACCCCTCAGCTCAGTGGACATGAGCCCGGTCGACTGCTCGGGTAACATGTGAGACGCCTCAATGTACATGTAGTAGCCTTGAAGTCAGAGCAGGAAAGACTTAGTGTGCACTGTCTCATGACATCAGCAATGTTAATAAAGCATTTCATGCTGAAGCATAAATTTGACTCACCTACTCCTAAGGTGTGGTCCCCCTTGGGTCCTGTGTAAGATGTGGGGGTCTGTCCCCTGATCCGTAACCAATGTCCTTTCTTAGCTTTCTTTTTCTGGGTATAGCCGCAGTCCCCAGTTTCAAAGCTACAATGTCCAGGAGGTGGATTCAAAGGTCCTAAACAGAGCACAAAAAGGGTGACCTGCTTTGGAATAGTAAACTTCCACCATATTAGGCTTTTTTACATCTGAGTGAAATGGTTAAAAGATTGTCTATTTCTGTCCACCGCAGCCGGCACTGCCCATTTAATGCCTATGTTTGTGAGGGCAGATGTTCTCCATTGGCATGTAATATATGTCTATAAACAGAATATTTAAGAACCTTAGACAAGGGCCTTGCCCATTTCCTAAGCCACATTGTTTAAAACGTGCTTCTGCCAAGCAAGTAATACAGTTTACCCTTTATTAGAACAATCATCTGCTTAAATCTTTTACAAGTCATGGGGTTTACTTCCATAAAAGCAACTGGGTCAAACACAATGTTATGGTTTGGACAATTCTAAATATGGGGACAGTTTTAGACGAACCCCTGTGAGTCACTTTTATTATTAAAAGGAAGAACAAACACCCATCCAGGTTTATGTAATTTGACCGTTTACTATCTCACAGTGGTGAAGCAGCCATGAAGCTTAATGTGAATAATTTCAAGATTTATGTGATACAAGCCTCTGCTGTACTAAAAATACACACAATACCACACAGTGTGACCATATGGCACTTGGCAATAGTCAAAAAGGATCTCCAAAATGCCTTTAGGAATAATTAATGCTTTTAAATTTAGAAATGTGGATTTGGACGGTACCACATGACCCTGGTGTTTGTTAAAAACAGTAGGTGATTCAACCAGTAATTGTCTTGTGGGCGGTGGGAGCAAAAATGGCGATAAAATCACCCTGTAAAAGCTGGGATTAACTTACATCACCATGAAACACAATTACCATCTGAACAGGGCTTTTTCTCAATGTCAAAAGGGTAGAAGTACCTGTAGTAACCCGACAGTCTCCAAGGGTCACTGAGATGTCATCGAGAGACACAAGCCCACAGTCCCAGAAGTTTCTGCAGATGCTGACAAATGCTACCTTAAAGGGAAGTTAAAGGGGTCCTATTATGCTTTTTCACTTTTTAAAATTTTAGTCAGTGTGTAGTGTGTATGTTTGGGTTTAAAAAAGATCTAGAAAGTTAAAAATCTCAAAGTCCACTCCAAAGGGAGATATTTCGTTTTTAAAAAATCCCTTTTCAAGAACTACAACAAACGGCTCATTTGGACTACAGCGTTTGTTTTCCGGGCTTTGTGATATTTATGATTAATTATTCATATTTCCCCATGAGCTGATTCGCTACAGCTTCTCGTCGCTGAGCGACCACCTGAAACGCTATTTTTTTCACCTCCGTGCTCTTTGTTTGGGCTTCCGAAAGCGGATGATGTCAGGAAACAGTGGTTGCAATTTATTTTTTAACTCTGTCCCTGAGCAT